AGGCGGGTCCTGCGCTGGGGGCCGGGCGGGCGCAGCCTGCGGGCTCTGGGGGTTGGCGCGGCAGGGCTGGGGAGCGAATGGCTGACCTCTCACTGGTGGTGCCTGGAGTCAGGGCCCGCTGGTTGCTCTTGCCCTTCTCTTTCTATCTTGGGAGCCAGCCCTGGGGCTGTCAAGACACTCCACGGCAGCACCTTCCTTGGGTGCCCCCGCCGTCCCTCCCCACCCCGGGTGCTCCAGGGGCTGGTTGGGGTTGTATCTTCCCTGCCTGTCTCTCTTAACGGGGGCCCTGCTGCTTTTGACTTCTCACCCCTCCCCTCAGATTTTAGAGGATTACCTGCTGGTGGAAGATGCACCTCTGCTGGAGGAAATGGCTGAGGAGGATGAAGAGCTTGACCTGTACAACGAGATGACTTTTGGGTTAGGTAAGGTTGAGGGGAGTCCCGAGGCTGGGATGATTAGGCTGTGCCCTGGGGAGTAGGGCCAGGGGTTTTGGCCAGGTCTTAGAGCCTGATGGGGCAGAGGATGAGGTGGGTAGTGAGGAGGGTGCAGGTGAGGAAGCTGCTCCCTTGCTGGGACAGTGCCATCTTTCCTGGTGAGGAGCTGGGCTGGGAGCAGAGCCCCCAGGGGCTGCCCAGGCTCTCAGCCCCATCATGGATGCTTTGCTTCCTCTCTGAAGACCGAGACTCCACGGAAGAGGATGCTGCAAAAACCCTGGTGCTTCCAGAGAAGAGCCCTGAGCTGGCTGCAGTGCAGGTGGAGGAGGCCAAGGCTGTGGAGGAGCTGGGGCCTGGAGCAGACGAGGGGCAGCTGCTGCTGGAGGAGCTGGGAGAGCCCCAGGGGGAAGGAGAGTTGGAGCCGGAGGCTGAGCAGGTCGACTACGTGGAGGAGGAGGAGGAGGAGGAGCTGGGGGCTGAGGAACAGGAGGAAGAACAGGAGCCTGAGGAGGAGCCCTACGAGGAGCCCAACGACCTGGGAGATCCAGCAGTGATGAGAGCCGTGCAGAGCAAGCCCACGCTGGAGGTGACACCTGAGTGGGGAGGGAGGGCGACCTGGTGTCCCTGCCCAAGCACCTCCCTAGTGTGCGGCAGCTCCCTAAGCCTGGCCCACAGGGAAAGATGCTGCCTGGGCACCTGCCGTTCACTCCTCCTTCCCCGGCCAGCCTTGTTGCTCCCTCCCTCGCAGCCGCGGGTCATGTCCCGCGCAGAGAAGGGGGTGGTTTTGGCCACGTTCCCTGCCCTAGCGAGGGAGACGCTCAGTGCCAGGGCTGAGTGCATGTCTGTAATCTTGTCTTTGCTCCTAGAGCCAAGACTCGGCGGTGCTGGACAGCAGGATTGGCTCTGCCTGGGCAGAGTTTGGCAAAGAGGACATGGTAAAAGCGCTCCCCTTCC